CTGCCGGCTCGGATGGCAGCGAGCAAGGAGTTTTGTCCCACAAATTAGGAGCAGGCGGGAGCGTTCGGTGGGGAGTACGTTTGCGTGAATTCCCCTCCCACGGGCAGGTTTGTATCATGCAGACCCGGAGCCTGATGGATTTTTTTTTTGACTCCGCCGCCGCAGCCGGCTGACCTCCCTCCCCGGAGCAGGTCGGGCGCTGCCGAGCCAGCGTCCGTGGCTCTCCGGCGCTGACACAGCTCAGAGCTGCGGATGATGTCAGCCGGATCCGGCTGGGGGGGGGGAAATGGTTAAATGATGGTTAAATGTCCTTTGAGGCCCTCGGAAAGCCGTGCGTCCCATCCCTGCCGCCAAACACGGGGCTCCTCCGGGGCTCGGGGCTTCTGCGCTCCCACCGCTGCCGTGCCGGGCACAGGACTGTGCCGTCAACATGAGCTAATGCTGACACACAGTAAATATTAGCAGGCAGAACGGTGGGAATCAGAAGGAAAATATTTAACAGTTCATTCTCTTCCTACAAAGATTCCCATTTAGAAAGTTAACTCCAGTGTGCCTCTGCATGGTGTGTCGATAGAACAAGGAAAAATCAAAATAAAATGGCCAGATCTGTAGTAGCTAAGGTAGGAGTTGAGTTGCTGAAGCTTAAAGAATTTCACATGGTCCGGTTCAGGTTTTGGTAGATGAGTGCAACTCGGACTGTGAAGTTATCCGCAACTTCGCAGTTGTATCACAAGAAAAAACAAACTCGGTGACGCTGCCCTCCTGCTCGGTGGCCGTTTGCTGTGGTAGGAAGGAGTTATCAGCTGAGCCGCTTCGGATTTTTTTTTTTCCCCCCTCAGTTCATTGTAAAGAAAACCCAAACCCAGCCCTAAGCCCCAAAAAAGCCCAAAGCCCCAAACATAATTTTGCAAAATGAAAATAGGGAAAGGACATTGTGTTTTTTCCAGGGGGTGTAATTCTAAATAGGGAATGGAAAGCTCAGTCCTGTCACAAGCCAGTTCAGCAATGAATGCTTAAACCCAGATGTAAGTGATGTTAAATTTCCCTTGGTGGAATCGGGGTAATACCTGTCAGAAAGCACAGTATTTTAAAAAAAGGGTAATGGCAAATAATGTAAATGTGGAGAATGTTTTGGAATAAATGAGCATGTTGTACGATGTATAAGAACATGAGTCATGACTCTTCATGTATTTGTTTGTGTCCTTGGCAGGCTTCAATGGCTGAGAACAGTATACCTCTATACACTACTGCTTCCATGGGAAATCCCACTCTGGGCAATTTAGCCAACGCGATGAGGGAAGAGCTTAATGGTGCAATGGAGCATACGAACAGTAACGGGAGTGACAGTAGTCCAGGACGTTCCCCTATGCAAGCAATGTAAGTGTGGCAGAGGCGCGCGCCTGGCTCGAGGCCTTGTCTCACTGTCTGGTGAAGTGCGGCTCTGGAGACCTTCGTGGTTGGTCCCTGAGGTTCATGGATGGAGCAGCAAGAGTAGACATCTCCATCTGGGGACATGCTTAGGTTGAGAACATAAAAGGGCAGTTTACCAGTTTCCACATAAACCACATCAGCTCAATCCAGTCTGACTAGCATGCAGATTTATCAAATTGTTAACTTGCTCACAATTCTCTTGCTTAAACCTTGCAAGACCTCATAGGCAACTGCGTTTCTTGCAGGAAAAAAATGTGATTTCTTTCCCTTTCGGTCCACGCGACAGGCACGGCCGGTGGGGCAGAGCTGGGAGCTGGGCTTGTTTGGCGGGTCTGAAAAAAACCCACTCAATGCACAACGGTCTTGCTAAGCATTAACGATGGCACACGTGAAGGTCTGCGTGATTTATAGATTTCTTTTAAAATATCAAAAGGAAAATTAATAGGAGCTTTATAGCAACAGACGGCGGTATAACGAGGCGTGCGTGTATAACCCCGTGAAGTCACGGGGGATCGATCGCCGTCCCTGCCCCACGCGAACGGCACCCGGGCGGCGAGCTGGCGCGGGACGGGGTACGGCAGGAAGGGTGTGATGCCCCGATGGGTGTGTTCGGTATTTATGGGGTGACAGAGTGAGTTTGCGAAGCTGTAAACTCCCCCCTCCCCTCAGACGACATCCCGGGCAGTCGGCGGCTGGCGAGGAAGCCGGAGTCGGTGAGTTCTGCAGTTCTCCAGGAACTCTGCGGAGCGGTTGGCTACCTGCTGCCGTCCTTCCCCCTGTTCCTTACAGCAGGCTGGGAAATTACTGGCTGGCTTGCCACGGCTCACATTACGCATTAAAAAGGGAACTAATTTGTAGTCTTCCTACTTCAAAGTAATTTGAATAAGGGATTTACAAAAGTAAGTCTAAATCAAAAAGTAGAAAAACATTAACCTAATACCGTGATAGTAATTAGTTGTGAAACTAATTAGCATTTAATGGCAAAAAAGTTTCCCACCTGCATAATGTGTTGTCAGAGGGGAGGGGGCACGAAGGAATCTGAGGCTTTGGATACTTTGATATTGCAGCATTTTAAATCAGTGCACAAAGTGCTTTGAAAAAAAGAATCTTTAAAGATGGCAACATTCATTTTTAATTAATAATTAATTTAAACATTGTCTTTTACCATTTACTTCAAAACACTCAAATAATGTGTTTAGCTTTTCCAGTGATTGTTTGTGCAGTATTAATTATCTCTCCCAAACTAGCGTTGCATGACACACTTTCCGTCTCAAACGGATTCATCTTGAGGCGGTTTTAGTCACTACTCGTTATCCTCTGCCCGTGACCACGCAGGGCCGGCGTGAAGGAGGAGTGGAGGGACGTGGCTTTTCTCCAGAAACAAGACTTCTCCCAGGGGTTTCTCTTGGCCTAACAGACAGGGATGAACGTTTATGATGTTACGTTAATCCAAGTAATTATTTTTTTGCAAGTTCAAGGCTAGTGTAGTTCACGCACTTCTCATTTCACCTAAGGTTTCGTTGTCTTTGAAGAGACTGCGAGGAGGGAAAAATAACCGAGTTGAAACAGGCTAGGACACCTTCCAGAACTGTGCATAGCCGTGGCCTTTGTTGCACTTAATAATCATCTCTTAGCACATTGATACCAAGGTGAGGGGCACCGAACAAATACTGGAGAGAGAGGAGGTCAGGGGGAGGGATGCCTCATTTTCATTATTCACCAGAAAATCCAATTTTCTGTTGTAATATGGAAATGATTGTTTCCTGAGTGTTTTCATTTTCTCAGAATTGATAATATGTGTGTTCTCTGCTGAATATTTCTTTTTGCTTAAGTAAAATGTGGCCGGGTGATGTTCCAATACCAGCCTCTGAGCTTCCCCATTCAAATGGTGTTTCTAAGTAGTTTGAAGGGATCTAAAGCCAGAACACCGTTCACGCATCGCGGGGTTTACCCCGTTCACTAAGCAAAATCGTGAGTCAACAGCAGATTTCCAGGTGCTGTGCAACCTCCTGTTTTCCGTAAGCCCGCTTTGTTAATGACATTTTCAGGTTTTTTCTCAGGACAGATTTCCTTGTCATAATGCAAATTATTTTTTAAACAATTTCAGTATATTAGAATAAATCAAGCTTTAAACTTTATTGTAAGGTTTAAAGGACCTTGTTAACATGACAGCTAAGAAGTCTAACACTTTAGCTGAAGTCTTATTAATGCTTATTCGTTTCCTTTTTATGACACATTGAACCACGGCTCGGGGTTTTTTTTTTTTTCCTTCTCTCTCCCTCCTTTTGAAACACTAGAAAGTAGTCGCATAATTACAGCTTGGGGACATAACACTTTCATCCTGATATGCTCCAAAGGTAGCCACAAAGCAAACTACTCCATGCTGTGTGCACCACCAGAACTCAGTGGCTTTAAACAACAGTCAGCTTTATTAAAAACTCCTCTGTTCCCAGAGTGGACAAACAAAAGAATTACTCAGATGTGAAAAGAAGGGGAATCTGTGTTCAGCAAGGTTATTTATTGTTAACCCCTTCTGGAGTCTTAGGCGTCTACTTAAAAGGAATGTGCTGAAATTCTGCTACTATAAAAACAGAAATGGGAAACCCTTTCTTTTTCTTCCTTACCCTCTCCCCTCCCCGTCCCTGGCTTTTTTTCTTTCCCTTTTTGCCTAGCCAAGCATTTACCTTTTCTGTACTTCAAGAGACTGAATTCTTTAGTCTTTAAAGGAAGTTTTACTTCCCCGATTTGGGGTTTTGGTGAGGTGGTAAATAGAGATTCAAACTTACTTGAGAGGTATGAAAGTCTCCCTTTGCCTTTGAGCTTATTTAAGCTTATTTAAGCTTATTTATTTCAGTTGCTCTCTGATGTTTGAGCAAAATCACGCATTCAGTAAGGTTTCCTCCTCACTTTGCCGTTACAACTGACCGAGTACACAAGGAGTTGAATTGTTTGTGTTGTTGTTTTCCGTGCAGATTTCTCCCCGGGGGGTTGCGTTACCCAGATGACCCTCCTAATTTGGGGGATGGAGTTTTTGCCAAGCTCGCTGTCTGATGCTTGTGCAACACGTGAGCTGCTGGAGGGGGCTGGCCTGGCTGTGCCTCCCCAGGGCTTTGTGGCCCTCTCCGGCTTTGTGTCGCTCAGGGTCGAGCAGCCCTTTTCGTAACTTGGCACTTGCTTTGCCTTTGGCTCCTGAAGTTTTGGGGTTTTGACTTCTGGGAACCACACCAAACCTCAGAGAGAAACTTGCTTAAAACCACCTGGTTTCACCTGCTTTCATAACAAAACCAGAAGGGGGGCAGAGTTTGCTTTGGAAAGGTTTGGGGACCTTTGGAGGAGCTTTCACAGCATGTCGGGTGGTTGGGAGCCCAGCAGGTACCTGTCTTAGGTGTTCACTTCTGTCCTCTGGCCAAGCAGGAGGTGGTGCAGGGATGTGGTGGGACGCTGGACGTGCCACCTGCGCAGCCTTGGGAGGAAGGTTTGGAGCCACCTCTGCTGCACGCGATGTGCGTTCTCCTCTCTCCTTTGGAAATTTCCCATCTGCGTTTTCCAAAATAATACTTCTTTAATTTAAAACAAACAAACAAGCAAGCCCGGTGGCAGCATGAAAACCAGAAGGCCAACAAGCAAGACTTTTAAATTAAAACGGGAGTAAAAAAGATCGTTGCTGTGAAGGCCAAGTAGCACACACTCTATCGGTCTCTATGTGTAGCTTCTCTTTACCCCTTTTTCTTCTGTTTTTCTTTTCATGTTTTCTCCCAAGTGAGGGGCCCCACAGCGTATTCATAATGGAAGTTTTTCTAGTTGCAAATAATCAGCGTGGTTTCACGTTCTCTAGGGCCACGCCGGGACGGTTAGCACACGCACATCTCTGAGACGATGATCTGCTCGAGAGGCTTTTTATATGCTTACGCTAATTCTTAATCTCTGGTATTTGAATTCTTCTCCTCCCAGTCCTTTTTTTTACCCCTCCTTTTTCAGTAATTAGGTCAAAATTGTATGAGCAATGTCTCTCTCCTTGCGATTTTTGCAAAAATTACTCGACGTGCAGAGGGAACCCCTTTGCTCCAAGGGATGCGTTGATAGGGTAGGGGTTAGTGAATTTGAAGGGAAGAGGTGTGTGTACGTGGATACTGCATCACTTCTCTGCACCGTTCCTTTGTTGGATGGGTTGGAAGGTGCAGTTAAATCTTAAGTATTGATCTAGCACTTCACAACTCAAGAAGCTGAAATATGCAGCAACTTGAAAGGCATTCACAGCTCACCTTAGAAATGTCTGTAGTCAGCAAGTTAGATGCTTCCTAAACTGATCCAGGCTGAAGCCAAAATAAATAGTAGGGTGCGGTACAGCCGTGTGCCCCGTACAGGGGTACAGCTGGTTCACCCGGCTCGCTCGAAGTAGGCAAGGTTACCTTGGCTTGTACGTGGATACCCACTACGTTTTCCCTGTTCAGTGATTTATTCTTGCTGTCCGTCAGCGCGACAGACTACAAGCAATATTGTCATTCCTGTCCACAGAAAACATAAAATGCAGCTACTTTAAATCATTCATTTTAAAGCAAAGCTGTGCAAGGAGAGACAAAGTTCTTAACAGTGAAGGTTTGCGCTTCAGATGGTGTTTTCACGTCGTGTATGTGAAAGGGTTAAATCATCCCGCATGGAGAAAAAAACAAGACTCTAGGAGGTGGCTATCAACTCAATGAGAGACAGAGTGGGACTTGAACTCATTAACACTTTATTTTAAGGGATTGCCTACAACATCAATTATTTAGGAAGCAAACAGGGTCTCCATTGCTGTGTCGCATTATTAATACTTGGTAATGTCAATAAAATCCTACTTTCCTATAAAGTCCCACCAATAAGACACTATTGACTCACATGGCTGTTTTACATTTCAAAAGCTGCCGAACGAAAAAAAAAAAAAAAAAAGGGGGGGGGTAATTTGTATTTGTATAGGATTTGTTGTAAATATGATTTACGAACAACATTTTTCAATTGTTATCATACCCGCTTGGAATGACCAAGCCCCGTTCCCCTGCGGGTTATTCATGTGCTGTGCCATAATGAGAAATTTGGCAGATCTCATCTCTTTAGTACATACTTGTGCCCACCATGAGCTGGGGATCATGTTCTGCCTTGTTTACAGCTGACAGTGTTATTATTCTCGTTAGGACTGTGCTTTCTTATCATATTGTTGTGTTGAGCGAGCCTTTTCCTCTCTGTTTGTGTTTCCTGGCAGGGCTTTTCTTCCCTTATTGACAGTTTGTAAAAATATGCATTAATTTGGAGTTTAAAGCATGTATCATGGTGTCTCTTTGCTGTGTTTGCTTGAAGTTGATTAATGATAGAACCTCACTTGGGGTCGTCCTCTGGAGAGTTGTCTCACAGGTTCTGCATGTTAACGAGAGACGCCGCACACACAGCGAGCGATGATTAGCCCAGCCTCCGCCGGCTCGGCGGGCTGACAAACTGCTGCTTTGCTGTTCGGATGCTTATTCCGCTTATTTATCCAAAGATTGTATTAATCAACTTAATATGTCAGCTGAGAGCGTTTTCTCTTGATCCCGAGACGGAAACCCTATCGAGGTGCTCCTCCCAGAGTGTTTTCCCGGGGAAGCTGAGTGCTGCCTGCCTGGCGTAGCGTTCGCTTGGCCAGCGCAGAAGTTGAGGGTCTTCTCCTGGGTGACCTGGAGCTCTTGGAACACCAAGTCTGAACCCCCTTAAGCAGCCTCGCCTTTCTCCCCAAACCACCCGAGCTGTCAGAACCGGTTTTTAATGAGCAACTTGCTGATTGACCGTGTTTTCGGTTTTTTTCCAGGCACCCCGTGCATGTCAAAGAAGAACCGTTAGATCCAGATGAAAATGAAGGCCCGCTATCCTTAGTGACAACAGCCAACCACAGTCCAGATTTTGATCATGACAGAGATTATGAAGATGAACCTGTAAATGAGGACATAGAATGAGTATGTCTGACATCGTTATCCTGAGAATGAAGATGGGAAGAACACGTCAAACTTAGCTGTGAAATCTCTCCATTATTGTACAGTCTGGAGGATTCTCAGTCCACTTTGACAACTATGAAATATGTTAACTCTTAGTGCCATCAAGTATCCCATTTGGGAGTATTTTTGATTTTTCTACTTTTTGTTGAAAAAAGGAATTTGTACTCTGTGCATTGGATGGACTTGTTTGGTACTTGGGATTTTCCTCTCTTACAGTCAACATCAGTGTTGTAAATTTGCTAAACTGATTCACTTGCATTTAGCAGCCAGCTGTGGACTGCAGGTCCTGCCAATTTTGGACACTTGAGGACATCAAACTGAGCATGTACACCTGAACTGCAGATCAAGTCTTTGCCCAGATTTTAAGGATTCCAATGGACAACATATTTGCACAGTACTGCATGTTGATTATCACTGCCTTTACTCCATTTTTTTTTTTTTTTTGGTTTTTGGTTGGTTTCTTTTTTTTTTTTTCGCTTCCATTTGGGATGGGGAAGGCCTGTGTGTGCACGTGTGTGGATATGTGTGTGTGCGTGTGAGCGTGTATATCGGGGAGGGGTTAAAAGAAAAAATTATCCCAAACTTTTTAATGTATTGCTTTTATTCCCCCGCCCCACTTCTCCTCTACCATTTTAAGTTCTGACCTCAGGCCTCATCTGGGCCCAGGGCCTCGCAGAGGCTTCAACGTTTTCTGTACTTTGTGATGAATGTTAATAGGTGTTTTTATTATACGAAGCTGAATGTCATTGAATTGTTTGTAGTTTTTTCTGTCATTCATTCCAGTTTCCTTCAGATGCCACCATGTTTTCTTTAGCTATGGAAAACATTCCATTTCGGTGTCTTCTTTTTTTTGTTGTTGTTTTTTTGAAAAGGTCCCAAATGCTGCACTATACATGTGGAAGGGTTGTCCAACGGAGAGAGAGGAACGAAGTACTGCAAGAATGAGAATGAATGACAGATGAACATAGAAACACTGTAGGAAGCAACACAGATTCATTCCACAAAGCAGTATTTTTAATATTTGTTTGTTTGTTTGTTTGGGTTTTTTCTTTCGATTTTATTTTCTTGGCAGCAACGGTGAATATTAGCAAATGCCAGAAAATGGAACGGCACAAAGAGATATATGCAGCACCAACAGAGTTCACTTTTGCTAGAGGATGAATTAAGTACAGTGGCAGGTTCTCGGTTGTTTAACACGAGTTTTAATGGGTCAACGAATCTTTCTGGAATATCTAAGATTACCGAGATGGGCACCTATACGTTTATGATTACAATTATTTTTTATTTTTTTTTTTCTTTTTGCATTTGCATTTGCAAATAGTGGTTGGAAAGATGACTTCATTAAATTGTTATTGTACGTGGTGGTGTTTCACGGTTAAACATCAGTTCAGGATTGCTTGGTGGCATTAATCTGTTTGAATACAAATTAGATTTCAGATTGAACTTGTGACGGCAGTTAATAAGGCCGGAGCCCCGCTAATGCTAAAGTGTTCATTTTCAACTGTGCAAATCCAGTACTGCAGTTAAGATTGTTATGCAATGTTACACCAGCCAGTATGGGAACCTCGCCGTAGGAGACGGGAGATCTAGGAGAGAATTCGCGCCGGGGCTTGTTAGGCAAAGCTGGCAAGGCTCCTCGAAGCAACCACGACATACAGAATTTGTTGCGATAGGTCAGTAAACCTCAGTCACCAGACACCTAAACGTGTTCATACTGCAACCACTTTTCCGTCACTCATTTATTTATGTAGGACTGTAGCTTTTTTATTATTTCAAAAAGCCTTTCAGAGCTTAATTTATATTCTTCTTTGTACCTTTTTTTTTTTTTTCCTAAAATTACCAAAGATATTACACAAAGGTAAATTATGTTCTCTGTTATATGCTTTATCTTATGAAGCCAAATATCCTCTTATTGTTGATCAAAGGAGGTTGAAGAATTTAGAGGGAAATGACAAGATGTGGGCTATTGCTAACCTGAGAGGGAAACTGCTCCTTTATTCTAGAAAATTTAGAAGGCCAAGTAGATGTCTGAACCAAAGTTGTTAACGTTTTATTTGCAATTCTTTACAGTGACCAAAATGAAAGTCTGTAAAGAGGAATTGAGGAGAGCTTTTGAGGCTAAAACTAGGAATCAGTGTTACTGGTGGAGCTAAGAGAAGGGAGCTGGAGAAAGCAAAGACACGGTTATTTCGCAGAAAATTAGAGTATCAGATAAAGGAGACAGTTTAATAAAATACAGAAGAGAACAGAAAAGCTCCCACAATTTAACTGGACCACATAATGGTATTTCTAGAATTAAAAGAAAAAAAACAAAAACTTTTGGTCTTTGGTTCTGCAGATGGTGTGCCACTTCTGTTTCGGGACTCTGCTAGGATGACTGCTTTAATTTGGGTTGATCTTGGCACATTTGCTCAGTTTTGTTTAGTTTTTGGTCAGCGTTTTTCGTAAGGAAATAACACTCCTGTCCACTCATAAGCTTTGGTACAAGAAATTTTATTGGCAGTTACTTTTACAAAAATCAGCTCTGCTTTCTGTTTCGAAAGACAAAAAAAAAAGAGAAAAGAAAAGAAAAAAAGGGCAGTCTGTGGTCATTTGAAACATTTTTTTTTTTTTTTTTTTCGTTTAAATTCTATCCAGGCAGCTTCGTGACGTGCCGGCGGTAGCCAGATAGGGATCATGAGAATTGAGCCCTGTGCTTCTGAACTGAGTGGTTTGCTGGTTAGTTCGGTATTCAGAAGGGGATAAAAATCTGGTAGATTAGTTCATTCTCAGCATGTGTAGCTAGACATGAGTAAAGATAACAGCATGAGAAACTGTTAGTACGCATACCTCAGTCCAAACTGTTAGGGAATGAGTAAATAAAAAATACATTTCACTCAGTTGCACTTAGTTGTATGTCTTGCATGCTTAGTCTAAAGACTGTAGCAAAAATAAAAAAAATAAAAAAAGAGAAAAAGAAATAAAAAATTAGAGTTTAACATATCTGGCAGGTGTCGCAGCCTTGCAGAAGAACCAACTGAAAATCTCAGGCTTTACATCAAGCAAACTTCACTATGATTTTTACAATTCTGATTCTGTATCCCTTTGGATATACAGTTGCTTCTTTAGGGAGGGGTTTATTATGTTGTACATATATATCCCACTGTGTCTGTGTGAGCCTTTGTCTTTTGGGGGGAGGGTGGGGAGGGAGGAAAAGGTGGAAAGGTCCTTTTTTTAGATATCGTTCCTCAAAAGGAATAAATGCAGACCTGTTTGTCAAAACACCTTTTGCTTTTTGTGCAACTGCTTTATATTAACTATACTAAAAAAATAGCTTTGAAAAAAAAAAAACTACTGTATGTAATGGAATTGCAGAATACGCTGCACATGTATTTTATTTAGTTATCCTTGCTTTAAGAATATTGGATGACATTTGCTGACATGTGGGAGAAAATCCCTGACTTTTTTTTTTCAGCTTTTAAATTGTAACATAGTTGACAGATTTTTTTTTTTTTTTTTCCTCCTGTTATCATTGATCGAAGCATTTTTGTACAGTTTTTGTGTTTAAGCTGGTTTTTTTGATACTTTCCCACCCCTTCTGTTATCTTACCACTGCCTTTTCTGGCTGTCTTAAAAAAGTTCATATATTTGAAAGGAAAAAAAAAAAAAAAGTCGTTTTAAAAAAAAAAAAAAAAAATGTTTTTCTCCTGCTGCAGTAAATATTTTGCATGATGAATTCCAGGGTCACACTTTCAAAGTTTATCAGTGAAGTAGTGATTAATAATGGGGAGTGTCAAACTATTGAACTTTTGTATAAAAAAAAAAAAAAAACTTTACAAGGTGCCAAGATGTAAAGACAATTTGTTACATGTTTTTTTTCTCAAAGAAAAGCGTACATTATGAAAGTAGTACCATGTATCAGGTAAATCGCTGTCAGGAATGAGAGTCAAAGCCTTCCTTGTCCACAAAAAAAAAAAAAAGTTTGTAAATGTAAAACCTGTTAGGTTTCTGCATTCAACTAGAGGTGAAACGAAAAATCAAGGCTTATGTAGAATAAGTGACCACAAAAAATATGACCTTTTTTGATTCTCACTCGCAAGAGTCCCGCCGCGGGTCCTGCACCTCCCCTCTCCTGGAGCTGCCGCTTTGGGAAGAGACCAGGGCAGGGATTCTGGTTCTACAAATATTTGCAGATCATTAGATATTTTATATATATACATACATAAATATA